TTAAGTACAAAAAGATAGATGAAAACCTTTGATGAAAATAATGATTAAAGAGTTTGAATCAATCAAAGTTTTTTTTTTTATATGAAGAAATAAATGAAATGAATGAAAATGTAAGCTTAAAGAATCTCTAAAAAAATATCTTACTTTGATGCTTTTTTGAAGAATGTTATATTTAATGCAAGACGTAGAGGAATTTATAGAGTTCAAAACGTCAAAAAAATCTAGGAGTTTGGAGACTCGTCCAATTGGCCGTCTCTTGTCCGAATGATCAATATAGCCGTTTGTACAGTAAAAATCAGATATTAGAATGGTCAAATTTTGGACTGTTAGAAACTTCCGGTCAACCGCCCGACAGTACTACCTTTTTATGTTTCGGCCCATTTGTTCCGATTCAAAAGTTTTGAAGAGTATGGACTTTTGAAAAATATTTTTAACTAAATTTTCAAGATCAAAATTGTTTTTCAAGTCCAAATATCATTTTTAAAAGTCATTTTTATATTTGATCAAATCATTGCATTAGAATGACTTTTAATACACAAAATTGTTTTTAAGTTCTTGAATGTGTGACTTCGATCTTGACTTCCTTCATGAGTCTGATTTGTGATAATAGCCTTTGATCTTTTGACAACAATCGATCAATTTTCCATCCCATGTTTTGAAAAACTATAATCACTTGAATTCAACTTGTTTAGTGAATAAGATTAACTTTTTTGTTATAATCAAAACTTTAAGGTTATAATCAACCATAGGTCAACACTTGGCTCTTTGGAATCGAGCCATTCAAGACAGTGTTTATCTTATGTCCAAAGATTTGATCCAAGAATTTCTTGACTTTTATCTTTGACATTTTTTTGGAGAAATTGCAGGGGCCCAATGGCATAAACTGGAGGCAAAATAGATGAAAGTGTCTTTAAGTAGTCTTGTTCTAGGTCTTCAAATGTATTCAAAATAATGGTAGAAGCTCTACGTGCCCTCTCATTTTCCTGCATCACAAATTTAACCATATATGTCTAGGCTTGTGGTTCTTATGAAGCTTGGAATATCTTTCAAATATATGCCTTCCATGCCCGTAATTTCGTCCGCTATAATTGTATACAAGTATCTGCTATTCAAGTAACTTGCATATGAAATAAACGAAAGCAAAGAAATGGTTGAATTAGGTTAAAAGCTCGAACTTTATTATTGAAAACAGTACAATAGGCCCATGTTTGGTTAGATAAAATCAGATTTTAAATTCATTTTGATTATAAATTAATGGAACGTGTGGTTAAAAAGATTTGAATCTCATGAAACATGTGATTGAAATTAAATATTGACTTTGATTTTGTTAGAATATGACCCAAATTTCTATTGGGATTAAGATTAGGTTGGCAAATTGATAAAAGGAACAATAATCTTCTTGATTTGGAAGTTCGGTTGAAAAGGGTATCAAAGTACTTCAATGATTAAAAGTTTGATTGGTAAATGACTTTAAAAAATTGAAGACTTGGTTTTGGAGTTTTGGTGGGGAAAAAGTTGCTCTAGTGGTGGAGCTGCCGCCCGCCGGGCGCTTGAGCGGCAATGTTTTCCAAGTGGGAATCCTCTTACGATTCTAACCCATTATTGTTATATATATTAGAAATTTGAGAGAATTGTTTAAATTGAAATTGAGTATCAAATCTTGTAAAATAGTTTTAGTTTCTTGGTATTTGAAAATTATCATCTTCTTCCACATAAATTTTAAGTTCTAGTGCGATTTATAACTGTTCACATTGTTCTTAATCTCTCGTCTTTATTATTTGGTCCGATTTTCAATCGATTTATATTTTAATTCACTTTTTAAGTTGAACTAAACAGGGGTTTAGATAAGACTTTTAAGTTTCTTTCTCTGTATTTGACAATGTCTACTATGGTATAGTCCATCTTACCTTTAAGGGCACGTATCCCTTTTCAATGAGTTGGCATATTTTGTGTAGGCCAAGAAGCCACAATCACTGGTAGTCTAAAAGAGAACTTCATGTATGTCTAATTCTTCGGCAGCTTCATGGGTGAGGCTCATAACTCCATCAAAAATAATGCAAGAAACCAGTGGTACGTTCGAGGAAACTATATCGCTTAGTCTAACAAAGAGGTCATTCAATGGAGCTAAGCAATTATTCATAGTGGTTTCACACAAGGAGGGGATATCATGTATAGCATCAACATCCGATAAAGGAAGGCCATCAGGAATGGTTTCAAATCCAAAGGATGTGAGGCCTTTGAGTGAGTCGGGATCTCTAGATTTGGGGATGCATCTATGGTTGAACTCTGTGTTCACAAAAGTGACATGAACACCAGAGACGGATTTGGGGGGAACTGGACCAGGCTGTATTCGGGCCAAGGTCCAGCCCAAATCCAAGTTATTAGTTATTATTTTTTGGGAACAATACATAAATAAGAGATTTAGTTTTAAAAATTTCAAATTTCAGATATTTTTATATTTTATTTATAAATTAATTAATTAAACACATATTTTATTAATTAAATATATTAAGGTCATAATTCCATATAATTTGATCACAAATTCTATATAATTGGTCACATATTATTAATTTGTCACAAATCACAAATTTTACACGTCACAAATTATTTTACGGTCACGATTCAAAAAATTTATAGGTCACAATTTGTTTATCGGTCACAAATCAGAAATTTTATAAGTCACAAATTATTTTACAAATCAGAAATTTTATAAGTCACAATTTGTTCATCGGTCACAACTAAAAAAAAAATTATACGTCACAACTTGATCGCAATTTTATACAATTTGGTTACAAGTTCATTTTTCGGTCACAAATCAAAAATTTTATAAATTACAATTCATTTATCGCTCACAAATCACAAATTTCATAAGTCATTCAAATTTCTATGTCACATATTATTTATTGGTCACAATTTATCGGTCACATGTTATTTTTTAGTCACAAAATACCCAAATTAATGGTCACATCTCAAATAATTGGTCACAATCCCTCTTAGGGTGTGTCTGGGTGCGATTTATTTCCAATGCCAATCAATTATTGGACCGTTGGTGCCTAGAAGATGGGTCCCAATTTGCAGCAACATTTGACTTCCTCGCAGTAAAATGTCAAAAATGCCCGGTATCATGCAAAATGAGTTTTAAGTTAATGGCAAAAAGGTCATTTTGCCATAAAATTCTCAGAAAGTGTGCTG